ATCACTGGATATTGGTCAGTAGATATTGAACACCAGACACATTGCACCCTTTCACAGATCCCATGACAACATACTGGGAGATGGGCTGCAGGAGGACTTGGACAGGTTAGGAGACGGCAGTTTAGGATTTGCTGAGATTAATTGACTGATTCTGAGGCAAACAATTGCCACAAAAAGCAGCCTCAGCTGCCAGCATGGTGACTTAGAGCTCAGGGTCTGATTCTCGGTTCCCTGGAGGTTTTCCGTAAGTCACACTGAGAAAGATTCTTACTTCCCACACGTTGTTGCTCGATCACTCAGCACTGTCATTCTTACCGTGTTGGAAAAATTGCAGAGGAAAGCATAAGAGATGTTGAAATTGTCAGACAGAGAACAAAACTGATTCCTATCTCTCTCTCTCTCCTATTCATCTCTGAACATGCTCTCTCTCGAGTTGGAGTGAAATGATGTCTTGTTTTTTTGGGTAGCTGTAGATGCCAAGTGGGAGCAGCAGGTCAGGAGAACCACCCCTAAGTAAGTGTTTGGCTTTCAGTTGTTCTTTGTGATCTGAGCTTGGGGCTTTGCTTCCAGTCTTTGGCTTTCTGTGAATGAGAGGAAGGGAAGGCTGCCAACAGCGCGTGTTGTTCGATTCATACTCGGGACTGAGGCATTGCGAGCAAGACCATGATTTATTACCCATCCTCGGTCAGTGGGTCATTCCTTCCCTTTATTCTTTTGTGGGACGTAGGCATAACTGGCAGGGCCATCATCTGTTATGCCTCCTTAATTGCGCTCAAACTGGGTGGCTTGTTCAGATCGTTCACAGGCTAGTAAAAGAGTCAACCACATTTCTGTGGGCCTGGAGTCACCTATAGGCCAGACCAGGTCAGGATGTCACATTTCTTTCCTTAAAGGATATCAGTGAAGTCAGGGGTCAATTAGCTCAGTTGGCTGGATGGCTGGTTTCCGATGCTTGGGAACATCACAGCGCAGGTTCAATTCCCAAACTGATGGAGGTCATGACAAACCTCTTACCTTCCCAAACTCAAAGGTTATGGTGACCCTCAGTTAAACTATCCCCAGTCATCTCTCTGTAATGGGAGAGCTGCCTGTGGTGCTCTGGGCTTATGACAACTTGCAATGGGGTGGCACGGTGGCTCAGTGGTTAGCACTGCTGCCTCACAGCACCAGGGACCCGGGTTCAATTCCAGCCTTGGGTGACTGTCTGTGTGGAGTTTGCACATTCTCCCTGTGTCTACGTGGGTTTCCTCCCACAGTCCAAAGATGTGCAGGCTAGGTGGATTGGCTATGCTAAATTGCCTGTAGTGTTCAGGGATGGGTCAGTGTGGACTTGTTGGGCCAAAGGGCCTGTTTCCACACTGTAGGGATTCGATTCGATGAAGTACATAGGTTCTTAAGACAATCAATGACCATTTCAATGTCTTTCTTAATTGCTGAGAATTGCATTCATGGTATGAGTGGAATTTAAATTCCTCCAGAAACCAACCCAGAGGGACAATAAAACCTGAAAATGAACACACTGGAGCTCCATTTTGAAGTTATCAATACAGGTCAGACCAGTGTGTGCCATTTGCCAGTTTTACTGGCTTTTCCTTCTGGAAGAGTGGGATTTGAATTTGTGGGCCCACAGCCTGTGGTGAACAAGACCAATGACATTCCCACAACTCCGCACTTTTCCCATAGAAAGAGACGTTTGGCCCTCATCATCGTGGGCCTTCCACCAAGTACCAGCTTCAAAACTGATGAGTGCCTTTGTCAGCCGCATGACACAGTGGTCAAGCCAAGTGCTGTAGGTCTGCAGTGACACATAGGCGAAAGCCAGGCATGGATGGTAGGTTTCCACAGACCCTCCAGTCGGAATTCTGCTCCGGTCGATCCTGGAGAAAACCTTCCCATGGCCACTTTGGTGGCTGAGTGCCACATCATAGCAGGAGAAGGTCTCTCACTGGCTCTGTAGCCAGCAGGTAACATCCTTAATGCTTTTGTACAACACAGCCCAACACCGTACCCCCCTCGATAGTGCACAGAGTTAAATTGACAGTGCACTGTAAGGTGTCTTGCACAGTTGTCTGAGGGGAGAATACAACTCAGGGGGTCAACAAAAGATTTCACAGAGCAGAGCTCCCCTTGTTACAATGCTTACAATTCTGATGCACAACATCAATCATTTCTGGAGGCTGATCAATAAAGAATGAGCTCTTCGCCATGGCTACAATGACAGAGTTCAACTGGGTGAAAGACCGTGACTATCAGAGCGCCAGGTTTGTCATTCTGCTGTCATGAGCGGAGGTTGTTTTTAATCACAAAACTTCAGTTGAGACAGGTTCAGTCAGCAAATTTCACAAGGGAACTTGGTAAGTGCTGAAGGAACAATTTACAAGGCACTGGTAAGGTGGTGAAGTGCAATGAGCCAAAATGCCTTTGCAGAAAGCTGATAACAGCTCAACAGGTTGCATGGTCTTGTTGTGTGCTATAACTTCCTCTGATTCAGTTAAACTGATCTGTGTTCCAGCAGCATTTAAGAACGGCTCCAGCACTTTGCTTTTCTATTGCAGAGTGTGTGGTGACAAACAGTTTCCACGCCACAATGAGTCAGTTCCTCTGTTAACTCACTAAAATCTTGGGGCCAGTGACACAGCCACATGACCTTCATGGGAGCATCTTTTTCACTACCACTTCAAGAAACCACTGTGTAGAAAGTGGATTCAAAAAAAGAACAACTTGAAAGGTACACTTTTCTATAACAATTCACCACCTCAGGACATCACGACTTTCTTTCCAGCCAATGTTGTACTTTTGAAATGTTGCCACTGTTGCAAAGTCAGAGACAGTGCAACCAATGTGCACACAGCCAGCTTGCCCAAACAGCACTGGGATAATGATCCTGCTCATTTGCTCCAGTCAGTTAAGGAATGACGTTGGCCAGACGAGCTCCCACCATTCATCTTTCATTTGTGCTCTTAGGATCTTTCCACCTGAGATGGTGACAAACCTCTTATCCAAAAGATGACACCTCCCAGAGTACAATACCCTTTCTCTTTAATGAGAAAGCCAGACTGGATTAGTTGCCTCACCCTCCAAAAGACAGCTTGAGTCCCATGGCATTCAGATTTTGAGGTGAGAATTCTACTTGCTGACTACAACTCATACCATAATTCATTATTCTGTCTCTCCCACAGAGAGAGAAAACAAATGCAAATGTTCCTGCTTTTGGCCAAACTGAGGTCAAATTGCTCACAGTAGGAGAAAGAAACTATTAATCTTCATTTCATATCTTGGTGACAGAATGAGGGAACGAAAGATAGAGACTGAAAAAGGGCACGTTCACTGTAGATCTGTGCCTTAAATTCATTTACCTAGCTTGGAACTACAACGCTTAATTCCCTTACCTCGTTAAAATGCATGTGTCTGAGCCTGGAATCATTTGATTCTGTTCTCACCAATAGCTTTGTGAAAGGAGAGAATTTCACAGGGATACTACCCTTGAGTTTGCTGACATCCCCCAAGGATAGCCTGGCTCTCATTTGAACATAATATCCTGACATTTAGAAGCTGTCGCTCCTCTCCTTGTTGTGGTTCTATGCAAAGATTCACCACAAACCAATAAAAAAAATCAATCAATCCATGACAGCCAACACCAAGACTTTCTACAAAGAAAAACGTTGTTTTGCTTCCTGTATTACTCAACTATTAATTTTTGCTGCCTCCATTTCCTTTAAGGTTCTCAGCTCCTGCCCCATTTTCAGGTTGTGCCCTTCCCATTGATGTAAGCTCTGGTCCCATTTGAACATATGAAACAGGAGCAGGAGGAGGACATTCAGCCCATTGAATGTACTCCACTACTCAATAAGGCTGTCAATTCTGCTTGCCTGTCAGGTTCCCCACCTCCCACCCATAACCCATGGCTCCCTTGCCCATCGAATACCTCTCCATCTCAGCCTTGAGTATATTCAATGATTCAATGACACAGCCTCAACTGCGCTTTGGGCTGGAGAATTCCAAAGACTAAAGACCCTGTGAGAGAAGGAATTCTCACTCATTTCCATTTTATGTTGGACAGCTTGTTCTAAAGCTGCCTGACCTCTTCCCCACTCCTTCTCAGAGAGGTCTAATGACTCCGCTGCTGTCCTTCTCCTCTCCTGCTGACATAAAGACAGTCCCAGCACTAGCTCCTGCTAAGGCCAGGCATTGCTAGAGGGTGGTTATCAATGAGAGAAGGGAATGTGCAATGAGACATGGTGTTCTTGTACACCAGTCACTGGAGGTAAGACGCAGGTGCAGCAGATGGTAAAGAAGACAAATGGCATTAACAGTGAGAGCCTTGGTGAGACTACACCTGAATATTGTGTGCATTTTGGTCTCCTTACCTGAGGCAGGTCAATCTGACTAATGAGGGACTGCAGTGAAGTTTTATCAGACAGATTCCTGGGATGGCAGGACTGACATATGAGGAGCAGTTGAATTGGTAAGGATTATATTCGCTGGAGTTGATAAGAATGACGGGGGGGATCTTACAGAAACCTACAAAACTCTGACCGGACTAAACAGGATAGATGCAGGAAAGATGTTCCCTCTGACTGGGATCCGGAACCCGGGGCCACAGTCTCAGGAGACAGGATAAACCTTTTAGTACTGAGATGAGGAGAAATTTCTTCACCCAGAGATTGGTGAGGGTGTAATTCATCACCACAGAAAGCAGTTAAGGCCAAAACATGTATGATTTCCAGAAGGAGTTGGATGTAGCATTTGGAGCTAAAAGAATCCAAGGATATGAGTGAAAAGCAGGAACAGGTTATTGAGTTAGGTGATCACCCAGGATCATAGTGAACAGAGGAGAAAACTCGAAGGGTTGAATGGCGTACCTTGCTCCTACTTTCTATGTGTCTACAGGGTCGCTCCTCCCATTGAGGGGCTGAAATCCCACTCTCAGCCTTTCCCAACAGTGTTCTCACAAAGGACCAGGCTTCTTTCCAGTCTGATGGCTGCATTGTGGTCCTTACCTGCTGCTCGAGTGCCATACAGTGTGTTCTCCTCCATTGTCATCAGATTGCTTTTCCCCTTCTTTGAGGCCTGCTTCCCATCATTTTTGTTCAGTGTTGGCCAGTCACTCCAATTCATCTGGGTAAAGAATGAACATTGGTGAAACACTTGCACTGAGAAAAGCACTGAATCATGTCTTTCCCCTTCACTGTGTAGCTTTCTGTTCTGTTCCAGTCTGTTCCCCATTAGTCTGGCTCTCTGCCTCTTTCAGCCTCTTCTCTGTTGTTTCACTGGTGTAGGACAACAGGTCCCTTCTGTGCAGTAAACTGCTGAGTTGACAAAGTCTGGAAACCATTGCTCAAAAGGCATGCCAGCCTGACTACAACAGCCTGATCTAACTGCTTTATAACTTGACTTGATTCTTTTCCTGTTTCCATGTGACGAAATTGCTCTTTTCAGTTTGAATCCAAGCCATGTGCTGTTTGTAGGTATGATTCCCTAACATCTCATGACATTGCTAACCAGGAGTTGTGACTCAGAGCTGCTGCTGGCTTGTCCTGACACATGTTCACAGTTCAAATGTGATCAAAATCAGCATAACTAGATCATGATAAGCTTGTGAAGAGCTGAGGTCAGAAGGCAACTGTACCTGTATGTCCATTTTGAGCACCAGGTCAAAATGGTGACCTGAAATTACTGGCTTTCTTTGATTTTTTTTATTATATAAACAGTTGCTTCAATAAGGTGTGACATATTGAGGTTTGACATTAACATGTCACAGGCAAATTCTCCATGCAAACTTCCATGAACTATGTTTGCATATCTTTTGCAAGAGTATGTGCAAAAAGTTTGCATTTTTCTGACACCTTGTCAGAGTCTTCCTCTTGTTACTCTCAAAGTTCACACATTTACTGAATCTACAGCAGAATTGGTTATCTTTCAGCCACAGACTCAACAGTGGAAAATTCGACAGAAGCCTGGGGTACATCAGAAAGACAGACTTCGGAGAAGAATTTCAAATGCTGCAGTATTCCTACCTAGAAAGAGTCATATTATTTACATTTTTCACTGAAAGGTGGCAGAAACAGAATATTGTCAGATCATTGTGCTGCTGACTGCCTCCTATGACAGAATCCACCAAGCAAGATGACCTCAACTTGAATATTCTCCGTGTTTCTAAAGCCCTTACCCGTCCCTATCTCTAAGACCTCCTTTAGCCCTATAACCCTTGCAGATCTCTGCAGTCTCCAATTTTGGCCTCTGGTGCATACCCCAGTTTTCATCGCTACACTATGGTGTCAATGCCTGCAGCTGCCTGGATGCCAAACTCAGGAATTCCGTCTCTAAACCTCTCTGCCTCTCACTCTAAGGATGCTTGATAAAACCTCCATCACTGACCAATAAACATGGCAGACTATTGAGGTGTGTCTTTGGAGATGGAGAGGTATGGTTGAACTGACTGCAGTGTTTTGCAGAATGAGAATTGGCAAGTTTGTGAGGGATAGACTCTTTCCTCTCATAGCTGACTGCAATATTGCAGGCTGAGGTTTTGGGAAAGTAAACAAGGCCAGCCAAAGGTTTTTGCATACAAAGGCATGTGGCATTTGCAATGTGTCGTGTGTTGAATGCAGAATATGAATGAGTTGAGGTGTGAAGCAGAAATCAACTTTAACTTGGAAGAGCAGCAGTTGGCAGTTAAAAAGAGACAGCTTTCAGAGCAAACACTTGATGGGGCAGACTCAGTTTACAGTTGACAGTTCACTGCTGTCAGGTTCCAGAGCCCAATTTAGCACGTGTGGAAACTGTTTTAACCTGACCCCAATTTAGCTTGAAAGTTTTAGCATGTTGCAGAATGGCGTTGGGCAGGCTAGCAATGAGTGTAGTGTCAGGAAGCAGCTATGCTGTTTGTTCCAATCAGACGCTCGGGGTGATTCTGCCACTGAGAGATATCTTCTCATCAACCTGTTCAGATCTGTTATGACAAACCTGCTGGAGCAATGAGAACTCAGGCATCCTCGCTCAGAGATAGGGACACTCCCGTTGTGCCAGAATGTCCCTATTCTACCAGAGATATCCTTGGCCCACACCATATTATATCCTCACTTGAATGGAAAACAAATAAAAATCCATCCAATAATTCCATTAATAATGACTTCAATTACATGGAACCTCTGCCATACTCAAATGTCCCAAGGTGCCCTTGTGTTCTGGCACCTTCCAAGTGGTGCATATTCACCACTGTGCTCTTAATGTAATAAATAGTTAGAGTGCAAGTCACTGAACTGTAATGTGCAATTTTTAAGATGTTACAATTGCTCTCGGAATGACCACTTCAGTTTACAGTCACCTTCAATTATCTGGTGATAGTAGGAACTACAGATGCTGGAGAATCTGAGATAACAAGGTGTAAAGCTGGATGCACACAGCAGGCCAAGCAGCATCAGAGAAGCAGGAAAGCTGACGTTTTGGGCCTAGACCGTTCTTCAGAAATGGGGGAGGGAACGGGGGTTCTGAAATAAATAGAGAGAGGGGGAGGCGGATAGAACTTGCATAAAGGAGAAGATAGGTGGAGAGGAGACAACCCGAAGGTTGCAGGAACAGTACCTCATATTTTGCTTGGAAACCCTGAAGCCCAATGGTATCAATGTGGACTTCACAAGCTTCAAAATCTCCCCTCCCCCTACCGCATCCCAAAACCAGCCCAGCTCGTCCCTGCCTCCCTAACCTGTTCTTCCTCCCACCTATCCCCTCCTCCCAAGTCATGCCCCACCCCCATCTCCTACCTACTAACCTCATCTCACTCCTTTGACCTGTCCGTCCTCCCTGGACTGACCTATCCCCTCCGTAACTCCCCACCTACACTCACCTTTACTGGCTCCACCCCCGCCTCTTTGACCAGAGCTATACATCTTGTTATCTTCAATTATCTGGTTTTGCTTTAAAGGGATGGGATAGCAGTAAAACATCAAAACCAAGCTGCAGAACCCAGATTAGCTGCAGCTAAGTGAAATCACAAACACTTCTTTTTCAAACTTTGTAGGTCTGAGGATCTTACTGGAAAAGCCATTTCACACAGCCTCTGGCTCCAGTCCTCAAATTCTGACGACTCGACAGCAAAGATGAACAGTTTGTCAATTGTTTCCAAATGAAACGACCGGCAATCACTTGGGCAGCTCTCATTCGGGGCCTCGACAATGCGAATGCAGTCGCTGAGCTTTATGATCTTTTTGCTCTCCGTTTTCCTAGTTCCTTGCCGTTCTGTCATGCTCATGGCCTCCTTGAACTCGTAATATTCCAGGCGGGCGACAGAGCATGTGCTCTCGCCAAACAGCAAAACCCAAACCTTTTTCCATTTCTGCCAAGGAAGAGAGAGACATTTTCATTTACACCAAGCTAATTTGCTAAAATCATTAAATTTCTTGGCATGCCCAGTAAGGACGTGCCATATTCCTAACTATGAAGAGACAGACTTTGTTCAATGTGGACACTTTAGAATTAACGAGATAACAAGGTGTAGAGCTGGATGAACACAGCAGGCCAAGCAGCATCAGAGGAGCAGGAAGGCTGACGTTTCGGGCCTCGACCCTTCTTCAGAAGTGGGGGAGGGGAAGGGGGTTTTGAAATAAATAGGGAGAGAGGGGGAGGCGGATAGAAGATGGATAGAGGAGAAGATAGGTGGAGAGGAGACAGACAGGTCAAAGAGGCGGGGATGGAGCCAGTAAAGGTGAGTGTAGGTGGGGAGGTAGGGAGGAGATAGGTCAGTCCAGGGAGGACGGACAGGTCAAGGGGGCGGGATGAGGTTAGTAGGTAGGAGATGGGGGTGCAGCTTGAGGTGGGAGGAGGGGATAGGTGGGAGGAAGAACAGGTTAGGGAGGCAGGGACGAGCTGGGCTGGTTTTGGGATGCGGTAGGGGGAGGGGAGATTTTGAAGCTTGTGAAGTCCACATTGATACCATTGGGCTGCAGGGTTCCCAAGCGGAATATGAGTTGCTGTTCCTGCAACCTTCAGGTAGCATCATTGTGGCACTGCAGGAGGCCCAGGATGGACATGTCATCTGAGGAATAGGAGGAGGAGTTGAAATGGTTTGCGACTGGAAGGTGCAGTTGTTTAGTGCGACCCGAGCGTAGGTGTTCTGCAAAGCGGTCCCCAATTAACTATGGCTTTTTAAAGTGAACCACATGCTGCTGCAAAGATAGCAGCCGAAGGTCAAGTGACCTTTCATAACAAGGTGTGGAGCTGGAGGAACACAGCAGGCCAGGCAGCATCAGAGGAGCCTTCTTCAGAAAGGGTCCAGACTGAAATGTCAGCTTTCCTGCTCCTCTGATGCTGCCTGGCCTGCTGTGT